TGCTGGTGTGGGGCAGCCCCTCGGGGCTCCAGGCTGGATGGTCTTCCTATCCTTCAGTGTCATGGTATGAGGTCCCCACACCCCCACATGCTGAGTAACATCACTGACTCATCATTATCACCTCTAATCAAGTCCAGAGAGCTCTTTGTTTTCTCCCCAGGATGCACTGAAAGATTATTTCCTATTCCTACCACTGTTTTTTCCTCACACTGCTCACTTTCAGGTGTGGGTAGCCTCAAAAAATCTGCCAGACCACCCTGGTTCAATGTTTACATCCTTTTTTTTTTTCACTGGAAAATACACTGGGGGCTGAAAGAACCTTTCCCTGGTGAGGCAAGAAGTCAGGAGTGAACCCTGTGCCCCCTCCCTGGGCACAGCAACACCTCCAGGGATCCACTGGTGCCTGAAACAGGGGAACTGTAAATCTCACTCATTTTCTTTTGCAACCCTGGTCAGGCTTTGCATCTGCTCCACTGCCTCTGAGCGTGTCCCCTGCCCACATTTGCTGATCCCTGCTGCTCCTCATTGCTGTTGGGATGTAGGTCCCTTCAGACTGAACTGCTCTATTCTAAATAAAGTAGAAAAAACCTGCCGAGAACAAAAGGTGGCAAGACTTGGTGCATTATGCAAGTTGCTTTCTTCAGTGCTGGCTGGAGCAGGTGAGCAGTGGAAAAGTGCTGCAGGCAGAGAGGCCACACGAAGGGTTTTTGGGAAATGGTTAAACCAAGGATTTGCCTCCTTCTCCAGGCAGTGAATTCCTCTGAGTCGGGGCCTCCACCTGCACATCAGCCCTGGGCTGATCACGGGACAGTGCCTGGATGCCACTGGGAACAGTGGTGCTGCTGGTGTGTGAAGGACACGGTGCCCCTGCACCTGCCTGGGGTTCTCCCTGCTCCCACAGAGGAAGCCCCAAGCCATGACATTCCCTGTCCTGCTGTGCAGCCCCACGGGGTCACAGTGAAAGGGCTGTCTCTCTGCCATCTCTACAGCAGGTCACAATGGCTGAGCAAAAATGTGGCTGGAATGGTATCGGTGTTAGTGACTCCAGGACATGGAGGGTCCCTTCCAATTCAGCATATTTTAGGATTCCATGAAACACCAGACAGAGCACAGCCATGATCCAGTGGCCAAAACCTGCCTCTGGCTACCACTGCCAGCCTGCAATGCCTGACAGGCAGATGGGCCAGAAGTAAAGGGTGGAGGGGTGAGGAGGAGAAAGAGAGATGAGGCAGGAGGGAAATGACTAATCCATGATTAATGACTCTGGTGATCAGCCCTGTGCAGGTGTAATGGAGCTGCAATCCTTTAGTACCTTCCAGGAGGGAGCAGGAGAGTGGAATGACCAGGCAACATAACCTTGTGATCAAGGGTGAACCCCTTAACTGGCTGGCTCCCCACAAACCGGTGCAGAACTGGTGGAATCCATGAAGATGATTAAAATCAGCCAAGGTGTGGATACCCCAGAACATCACCCTGTCAACTGCTCACAGCTGCTGTTCTGAACCCAAAAACAGTCCTTTCTGTCCTGGAGCCGATGGGCTGCCCCAGCACAGGGTATGGAATGAGAAAAATACACCTTTTCAATAGATGATGCACAACGGATCAAACACCCAGAGTCTGCTGGGGGAAGGGAAGAGAAAAGGGAAGGGAATGGAAAGGGAAAGGGAGAAAGGGGAAAAAAGAGGAAAAAGGGAAAAGAAAGAAGAAAGGAAGGGAAATGAAAGAAGAAGGGAAAAGTGAAGGAAAACGAAAAGAGAATGGGAAAGAGAAGGAGAAAGGAATAGGGAAGGGAAAGTAAAAGAAAAAGAACAAGGGAAGGGGGAAGGGGCTGC